GGATTTTTTTAAAAATAAAATAAAAATAAAAAACATATTATGAAAAAAAGAAATTCACCCAGCTGGTGTGGCTCAGCGGTTGAGCGTTGACCTGTGCACCAAGAGGTCGCCAGTTCAATTCCCAGTCAGGGCACATGCCCAGGTTGTGGGCCTGATCCCCAGTAGGGGGCATGCAGGAGGCAGCCAGTCGATGTTCTCTCTCATCAATGTTTCTATCTCTCTCTCCCTTTCCATTCCTCTCTCTCTAAAATCAATAAAGAGCCCTGGCCAGTTTGGCTCAGCGGTTAGAGCGTCAGCCTGTGGTCAGGGGAGACCTGGGTTTGGTTCCCGTTAAGGGCACGTACCTCGGTTGCAGTTTGTCCCCAGCCCTGGTTGGGTCGTGTGGGTGGCAACCACTCGATGTGTCCCTTTCACGTTGATGTTTCTCTCTCTCTCTCCCCCTCCCACTCTATCTGAACAAAAAATATCAAAAAATGTTCTTGGGTAAGGATAAAAAAATAAATAAAAATCAATAAAGAAAAAAAATTTTTTTAACTTAAATGTTAAAAAAGAAAAAAAGTAGTTCATGGTGAGGACTAAGTAAAAGCCTAAGTAATTCTTTAACATGGAAATTGACATTGAACATGTACTTTCCTAAAAGGCAGGCTGAAATTTTTGCAGAAAATGCTTATTTATATAATTGCATCCAAAGTATTTCCTTAATGACTGAACTATCTAGAAAGGAGGAGGCTAGTCTTTGATTATGTATGAACCTATTTATTTTCTTTTGTGTGTGTGTGTGTCAATCCTTACCGGAGGATATTTTTTCTACTGATTTTTAGAGAGCGTGGAAGGGAAGGAGGGGGAGAGAGAGAGAGAGAGACAAACATCGATGTGAGAGAGACACATCAATTGGTTGCTTCCTGCACGCATTCTGACTGGAGCTGGGGATCAAGCCTGCAACCCAGGCACATGCCCTTGACCAGGAATCAAACCCCAGACCCTTCAGTGCACAGGCTGACACTCTAACTGTTGAGCCACACCAGCCAGGGCAATTTTTAAAAACTTGCTGAGTATTCTAGTATTATCTCATTTCATTTCTTTTTTTTTAGGTTTTTTTTTGTTTAGATTATTTTATTTTATTGATTTTTAGAGAGAGGAGAAGGAAGCGAGAGAGAAAAATATCAATGTGAGAGTGGAGCATTGATAGGCCGCCTCCTACACAACCCCTACTGGGGATCTAGCCTAGATTCCTGAGAATCTAGGATTCTGGGAATCGAACTGGTAACATTTCCATGCACGGGATAATGCCCAACCAACTGAGCTACACCAGCCAGGGTGTATTGCAGTATCTCATTTCTTATGTGGAGTACCCTAGGTGTTTTATGCTTTTCCTTGTCCCCCTTTCCTAATAAGAGAAATGGAATAGTAAAATTTTAGTAATTTGAACACTATTTTTATTTATGGGATTCAGACAGTTCTCAATCCAGGGGCAGAGTAACTGGTTTTCTGATTCAAGTGTAGTGAGGGCCTGGGATCTTCATCCCCTTCTGACCAGGCTCAATAATTGGGCAGTGACTGATGATTGGTTACTACCTTCTCCCCCTCCCTCCAATAAGAGGAAAGTTGCCAAACTACCCAGGAGAGTTTGGGTGTTTTTTGTTTTGTTTTTCTGGTTGGGTGGAGGGAAGGAAAACAAAAGTCCCAATGTAAACTAGACTAAGCTGCCCAGTAGAAGTTCCAGAGAATCTCTCTAGTGAATTCAAAGAATGAGTTTATACTTTCCCCACCAGTTTAAATTGTGAAAGGATACCACTGATGTATCTTAATCACTGCAAGTGTTCTCAAGGCCCTGGCCAGTTTGGCTCAGCAGTTAGAGCATCAGCCTTTTGACCAGAGTCCTGGGTTTGGTTCCCGCTAGGGGCACGTACCCCCCCAAAAAAAGTGTTCTCAAGGATTTAAAAAATTTTTTATAATCCTCACCCAAGGATACTTTTCCATTTATCTTTAGATAGAGTGGGAGGGAGGGAAAGAAAGGGAGAGAGAGAAACATCGATGTGAGAGAAACACATTGACAGGTTGCCTTCCTCACAACCCTGACCAGGGCCGGGGACTGAACTGAAATCGAGGTACGTGCTCTTGACTGGAATCAAACCTGAGACTCTTTGGTCCACGGGCCAATGCTCTAACCGCTTAACCACGCGGGCCGGGTTTGTTTTTGTTTTTAGTGTGGATACCATTCGTTAACAGCCCTTAAGCTGTGTGTGCGTGTGTGTGTGTGTGTGTGTGTGTTAATATTCACCAAACTTCTTTGTGGCTGTTGACAGCAGTGAGGTGTTTACACTTTCCATCCTTCAGGTCCTGGCAAAACTGGCCTGTGGACTAAACAAGCCCAACCGCCAGACCCTGGTCTCACATGGGTCAGTCCCACAACTCTTCAGCCACATGCCTATTAACAAAATGTAAGTATTAAATGTCACTCAGATACATGTGAAGGCACACTCTGGTTGTAGTTTCTTCTGTTCCTGTGAAGGATTGGAGCCATGGAAAATAGATACCAGGGAGATAACACAGAAAATTTTGAAAAGCGTAGACTTTTTTCTTAATGAAACTTCAATTTTGGATTATCTGTGGAAGCTACTTAATACCAAGTTTTTTAAAAATGAATTGATTTTTAGATTTGTGTTTAACTTCCCTCTAGGCTTTTTATTCAAGTCCTGGCCAGTTTGGCTCAGCGGTTAGAGCGTCGGCCTGCGGTCCGGAGAGACCCGGGTTCGGTTCCCGCTAAGGGCACATACTTCGGTTGCAGTTTGTCCCCGGCCCTGGTTGGTCGTGCGGGTGGCAGCCACTCGATGTGTCCCTTCACGTCGATGTTTCTCTCTCTCTCTCCCTCTCTCTCCCTCCCACTCTGTCGTACAAAAACTGGGAAAATATCCTTGGGTGAGGATTAAAAAAATAAAAAATAAAATGAATTGATTTTTAGATTTGTGTTTAACTTCCCTCTAGGCTTTTTATTCAAGTCTGTTACTAAATAACACAATAAATGTGAGTTTTACTTCTAATATCATATCAAGGTGTTCAGGGCTACTGAATTGCTCCTAAACTAGGCATGAAAGAAGCCAAATAAAATGAATACCTAGGTTGTGCCTACCAATTTTGTGTCCTTGACAAGGGCTTATAATACTATTGAAGGGACAAGATATAACAGTTCAAAGCAACTGTGAAAGTGTTATCACAAAGCTGTACGTAATTGGTAAATGAATTGTATAGGTAGTTACCAATGTTCATAGAAGAGAAGCATAATCTGAGAGGATTTATGGAAGAGGCATGGGATTTGCTTTGAGGTTTGGCACAATTTGGAGAGTCAGGTGAGAACAGAAGAGCAATAGCGATTTGTGCTTTGAACACAAAGGGGGAAACAGTATGAGGTATTTTCAGTGAACTGGGACATAAACTAGTTTAGCTGGACCGTATTGAGGAAGAGAAGTGATTGAAATAGGATTGAAAAGGTCGGTTGAAGGCAGGTTATAGGAAGCCTCAAAGGCCAGGCTGAAGATTTTTTACTTTATTCTTAAATATAAAAGGTTTTAGCTTATGGAAGGGATTTGTTTGGGGGTTGGGATTTTAATCCCTAAATAGGACAGTAGATTCTGTACAACTGAAAATATTATATACAGTTGGCTTAATGACTAATGAATGACTTTAGCCTTTTGTTTTTGCTATTGTTAATCTTCTTCCCAGATCTTAACTCCCAGAATATCTGAATTTCCAAAATCGTCTAGTCTCATAGTAGAATATCAATAGTCTGCAGGACCAATATGTGCTCTTGTTTTCCCTGAACCTTCTGGAGAACTACTTACACAAGCACAATGTCTTACATCTGCTGCTGACTAGATAGTCAGGATGTGAACTGTAAATTCTCTGTTTTTTGTTTTTGTATGTGTTTTTGTTGTTGTTGTTAGCCGTAGTCTTGGAGGAAAGCTAGGGGCCTCTGTCATTGAAATCCTGGGAGTAGAATACATGGGTGAACTGACCCAGTTCACTGAATCCCAGCTCCAGAGTCATTTTGGGGAGAAGAATGGGTAAGTAATTCCTAATACTTTTCAATGATAACCTTTATGAAAATACTAAATTCAAATATAGACCAAAGCATTTGGTAAAATGTAGGCCTATTTTTAGGTTAGCATTTGTTCCTCAGGTAATTTTAATGGTCCTTTTGTTTTAAAATATTACATAACTATGGCCTGTCAATCTAGAGTACTTTTTTCATGTACCTAAGTAGGTTGATAGGAACTGTTACTTTGAAGCTTGGATATATACAAGCACATTATCTATGTGTGCTAAGATGCTGATATTCCCTTAAAATCCTTGTATTTAGGCTTGATAAATACCAAAAAACTTGGGGATGTAAATCAGTGGTTTGCTTGGCACTTTTCCAAAAATACAAATGATGACTTGGCTTTGGAAAGTGTAGCCAGAATTCTTCTCCTTGGCAATATATCGCACTGGAGTTCATTGTGAAGGCAGAAGTCTATCAGAGGTGAGGGATACTTAATTTTGGACAAACTTTTCCTTTTTCATGAAAAGGATAAAAGTATAGTATAATGCAGGTATTTTGTTTTGTTTTAATAAGAATAATCATTTGCTTCCACCTTAAACTTTTTTGCTGGTTTTATTAGATCTTGGCTATATGCCATGTGCCGTGGGATTGAACATGATCCAGTCAAACCCAGGCAACTACCCAAAACCATTGGCTGCAGCAAGAACTTTCCAGGAAAAACAGCTCTGGCTACTCGGGAACAGGTAGGCAGGCAGGCTTGCCCTCCCTTCGTCCCTCCCTTCCTCCCTTCCTCTTTCTTTCTTTCTTTCTTTCTTTCTTTCTTTCTTTCTTTCTTTCTTTCTTTCTTTCTTTCTTTCTTTCTTTCTTTCTTTCTCTCTCTTTCTCTCTCTTTCTCTCTCTCTCTCTCTCTTCCTTTCTTTCTCTCTCTTTCTTTCCTTTTCTTTTCTTTTTTCTTTTCTTTTGCGGCGCCAGGACCAACGATCACCAGCTGCGCAGGTACCAAATATTATGCTTCTGAAATCTCCTGATGTCGATTCTGCATGTAAAGTTATCAAGCTGCCCTATGTGTGCCACTCACGACAGAGGCCTTTTTCAGGCTGGCATTCTTGACAGAATATTGCCTCTTTTAAGGGGGTTAGTGGGTAGGTTTTGGTAACTACAGAAGATTTAGTAAGTTGGATGTAACCTTTATGCTGTGAAGTATGAAGGAAATAGTGTTCTTTTTGTGTGTTGAAAATTGACTTTTTGTTTTGTTTTTAAATGTTTTTATTAATTTTTCGAGAGAGAGAGAAAGGGAGAAGGAGAGATAGAAACATCGATGAGAGAGAAACATCCATCATTTGCCTCCTGCACGCCTCCTATCGGGGATCAAGCCCAAAATCCTGGAATGTGGCCTGAACAGGAATTGAACCAGTGACCTCTTGGTGCCCAGGACAACGCTCAACCAACTGAGCCACACCAGCCGGGCGAAAATTGACTAGTTTTGATGTGATTTATTATTTTTTTCCTTTTTTCACCTAAAAAAGAAATAAACTAGGCAAAAACTTGGAAGGCCTAGGATATTGTGCCATGTTTGTTTCTTATTGTTTTTCTTCTCAGAGCTGGAACATGCCTGAAATTTACCTGATGGCATGCCAGCGGGAAAAGAAAATGAAAATTTTGAGCTAGAGTACTGAAAGTTTCTACAATCTGTTGAGCCCTTGGTTATAGGGGAAACCTTGCACACTTCTCTTTGAGGGAGAGCTTAACAAATCCACCATCTAGTTCTATAATAAACTACAGTTTTTAAATGAAAGATTAAATTTTCAATACTCTTTTTAGGTACAATGGTGGCTTTTGCAATTAGCCCAGGAACTAGAGGAGAGATTAACGAAGGATCGAAATGATGTAAGATTTTTTTTCTTTATTCCTGGGGTGAGCTTTGGGATTTTTTTTCACCAGTAATAAAAAAGTAATTTTATTTATTTATTTATGTTTGTTTGTTTGTTTTATCTTGTTACAGATGTTTCTCCTTTATCCCCCATTGACACCCTCCTACCAATCCCGCTCCTCCCCTCCAGCATTGTTGTCTAAGTCCATTGATTACGTATACATGCATATAAATTCTGTGGTTTATCTCTTCCCTTCCCCTGCACCCCTCCTCTGAGGTTTGTCAGTCTGAACTCTATTTCTATGTCTCTGGGTCTATTTTGTTCATCAGCTTATCTTGTTCATTATATTCCACAAATAAGTGACATCATATGGTATTTGTCTTTCTCTGATTGGTTTATCTCACTTAGCATAATACTCTCCAGGTCCCTCTATGTCATCTCAAAGGATAAGAGATCTTTCTTTCTTACAGCTGCATAGTATTCCACTGTGTGAATGTACCACAGCTTTTTTTATCCACTCATCTATTGATGGACACTTGGGCTGTTTCCAGATCTTAGCAATTGTAAATAGTGCTGCTATGAACATAGGGGTGCATATATTCTTTCTGATTGGTGTTTCAGGCTTCTTAGGGTATATTCCTAGAAGTGGGATCACTGGGTCAAATGGCAGTTAAATTTTAATTTTTTGAGGAAACACTGTATTGTTTTCCATAGTGGCTGCACTAGTCTGCATTCCCACCAGCAGTGTACTAGAGTCCCCTTTTCTCTACACCCTCGCCAGTTTGATGATTTGTTAATGGCAGCCATTCTGGAAGGTGTGAGGTGATACCTCATAGTCGTTTTAATTTGCATTTCTCAGATGATTAGTAACATTGAACATTTTTTCATGTCTCTTGGGTGCTTTGGGATTTAAATACCTTACCTTATGGAATAGAAACAAAGATATATAAAGATACTAGCTAAGAAATCTTTTACCTTCTTTCATAAAACTCAACATGATCTTCAAAAGCTTGGATCTGTGAACATAAGACTTGATATTCCTGTCTCCCTAATTACAATTTGCCTCTACTTTTTTGTATATTTCTTTATTTCTGTAGTCGTGCATATATAGTGGATTTTCATCAGAGTACAGAGCCATTAAGCAGGACATTTAGGGATTAGACTTTAGATTATTGGATTTAAACAGAGTACATGTGACAAGCAAGTACTGACAATTGCCCTGGCCAGGTGGCTCAGCTGGTTGGAGTATCAACCTGTACACCAAAAGGTTGTGGGGTTGATACCCAGACAGGGCAGATATCTAGGTTGCAGGTTCCATCCTGTCAGGGCGTGTACGGGAGGCAACAGATTAATGTTTCTCTCTCACATCGATGTTTTTCTCTCTCCCTTCCTCTCTACACATATCCTCATGTGAAAATTAAAAAAAAAAAAAAAGTACTGACAGTTTTAAGAGACAGTGTTAAGTCAAAGACCCGACATCTGATGATTCATTTCTTTACCCACTCTTCTAAAGAAAACAAACACCCAGCTTTATTGATATATATTTTCATACCATAAAATTCACTTGTTAAAAAGAAATTCACCCATTTACAGTATAAAGTTCAGTAGTTTTATTATTTTCCAGTTGTTCAACTGTTCTACAATCAATTCAAGAACATTTTCATCACCCAAAAAAGAACTCAAAGAACTCCTATACCTGTTAGCAGTTACTCCCCAGCCCTAAGCCATCACAGTCTCCCTCTGCCTCTATAGACTTACTATTCTGGACATTTCATATAAATGGAATAATACAGCATGTGACCTTTTGTGAGTGGTTTGAAATCTTTAAGTTAATGTAATATTTTCACCCACATTGCAGTATGTATTAATACTTTATTCCTTTGTATAACTGAATAATATTCTATTGGATAGATATTACCACATCTTGTTTACCCATTTATCAGTGAATGGAATGTGAGTTTCCACTTTTTGGCTCTTATGAATAGTGTTGCTATGAATATTCATTTACAGGTTTTTGTGTAGATTTTTGGTTTGCATTTCTCTTGCTCCTGTATAATACCTAGGAGTAGAATTGCTGGGTCACATGGTAACTCTGTGTTTAGCATTTTGAGGTTGTCGCTACACTGTTTTACATCTCAGCAATGTAAGATGGTTCTAATTTCTCTATATCATTGTCATTGTCTTTTTCATTTTAGTCCTATTAGTGGGTGTGAATTTTGTGGTTTTCACCTGAAAACCTTATTGTTCATTTTCTTATCCTTTGGGGAGAAATGTCTGTCAAGATCCTTTACCCATTTTTGAAACAGATTGTCTACTGAGTTTTAAGAATTCTTTATATATTCTGGGTACAAATCACTTGTCAGATATATAATTTGCAATTTTCTTCTCCCATTTTGTGGGTATTCTGATGGTATCATTTGATGTGTTCTTCCTTGTTGAAACATCTTGGTGTCCTACAAGTCAACTGTATATTGTCAGAAATCATCCAAAACTACCTGTATGCCCCTTTTTAGCTGAACTGGTGGTGAATGTTTGTTCTTGAGTAGGTAACATAAAAAGACATATGATCCCAATTGTGTTGTGAGCCTATTTGATTTTGCCCACTAGGTGTCGCCCTGTTCTCATCTCTATAAGCCTCTAGAACTTTTCTTTCCACTGCAACGCAGTAGGGACCCCTGAAATTTGTCTTTCAGCTTAAAAGGACTTCTGGACATAGAAGATCCTATCACTTTAAAATATTCTAGTGGCTTCCCTTCACATTTAAGTACTGTGTGGATTTCTTTTCTTTTATTCTGTGATGACCAGTATGATTGGTCTCTGGCTACTTCTCTGACCTCATCTCCTAACCTCTCCCCCCTCACTCTGCTATAGTCTCAGCTCCACTGGGACTCCTTTGCTTTTATTTAACACACCAAGAAAACTCTCACCTTAGCACTTTTGTTCTTGCTGTTCCTTCAGCCTGGAGAATCTTTGCTCTAATATTCTTAAAATTTGCTCCTTCAGTTTACTGCTTAAATTTCACCTCAGAGAGGTCTTCCCCAACCACCCTCTTACATCAGCAGCCTCCAGCTCTCTCTGCCTTACTCTGCTTTTTTCAATAGCACTTTGTAGTCATTTCTATTACATGCCTACTTGTTTATTATTTATATCTCCTACAAGGTAATACATGTGAGGGCCTGGACTTTATTTTGGTCTATTCTGTATCTCTAGACAGTGCCTTATATATAGTAGGCATTCAGTTATACTTGAATGGTTTTAGTCAACAAAGAATCCTTTGTAATTGCCAATTTGTATTCCCTTAATATATACAAATCTGTAAGAATTGTATTTCAAAATGTATAAAAATACAAATTATATTTTTACCCCCCCAAATAGTTGCTGCTCTTGGCGTGTTTGCCTTAGGGGGTATTCCTTCTCACTAACATCTTTTGATTTTGAGGGGATCCCAATAATAGACTTTTTACCTTCTTCTATTTCTGCTTCTTGACCTTGTTTCTTCGTTTTCTTTGCATCAGGAGTATTCAGATGCTTACACTGAAAAGTGAATTGATGATCTTGCTTTCTAGAGGCAGGCTCGCTACACTGTATCTTCTAGTGATGGATTGTAAGAAGGAAGTGCTAGTGAAAACTTCTGCTCATATTAAACATAAGAGCATCAGGGCAGATTAAAGAATAAATCCACTACTCTCGATATTTACATCCTAACTTGGATCTTCCTTTCAGACAGCACTTACATGAACTCTTCTTCAGTCACAAAATAGAATACAGTACTATAGGCATTTGTTATAATCTTCCTGCATAGACACCATATAAAAAGCACTCAGGAAAGTCCATTTTCATTTATTCTATCCTCTTCCCATCACCTGTCAAAATTTCCCAGATATTCTAATAATCCACCATCCAAATTGTATCTTATCCCATTTCTTCATTCATTCATTTATTTACTTTTATCCTCACTGAGGACATTTTCCCATTTTTTTGTTCAGATAGAGTAGGAGGGAGAGAGAGAGAAACATCAACCAGGGCTGGGGACAAATTGCAACTGAGATACGTGCCCTTAGCGGGAACCGAACCCGGGTCTCTCTGGACCCAGGCTGATGCTCTAACCGCTGAGCCTAACCGGCCAAGGCTCCCATTTCTTCTTATACCCCAAAATATCACATTAAAATTTTTTAAATTAAATTTGACTATTTCCAAACCATTCTGTCACCCTGCTTCTTTTA